ATGCCATATGAATGTGGAACATAATTACAGACAATATTTTCATACCATCTGAGCTACTTAAAACTAAATTGGCCTTTAGCAAGGGGAAAGGGTACAGGCAATTAGGAATTAATGAGAACCATGTTAACCCAGTGGTTGATAAAGATCAGGAGAGGCAACACCCGGAAAAGCTGATTCTCCCTCTGGTCTTATGAGAAAACACATGAGAGGCGGCCACAGGCTGGAAGGGAACTTGTCTCTTCAAAGGCTCTTCCCAGGACTTTGCGACATGAAAGAACTTAGGCCCTGCAGAAAAACCTCGCAGGAGCCACCTGGCAGGAGCTGTTCTAAACGCTCAACAGCTCTAGACAGATCCACTGGGTTGCCTGGGCCCAGGTAGGCTCCCCTAGCTCTGGGCCACAGGCCCTGCCCCACTGACCTCCCTGCTCCCTTCCAGCTGAGTCAGGAGCCGGAGTCCACATGCACTCTCCAGGACATGGTGGCCCCAACCCTGTCCAGCGGTCACTAGTCACGCCTGCAGGCTGACGTCACAGGAGCAGAGGAGCTGGCCGAGGCAAATGTTGCTTCAAAAATGCTGGGAATGCATCTCAAATGGCAGCAGAGACTTGTCCCAACTTCTGTTGCTATTTTTAAGATACCTCTCTCCCTGGCGAGGCTGCTTGGAGCCCAAGATTTCAGTTTGATTTGACCACATTTATCTCCAGAGGTCACTGAAAACTAAGAATAAGAAGGATCATCTAGTTCCCAACACTATTTGCCAGAAAACCAGGGCAAACTTTCCCACCAAGGAAACAATTTTAAAAACTGGGATTTGGCTGGGATATGGTATAGAGTCTTAGTCTCTCTCTCTCTCTCTCTCTCTCTTTCTCTCTCTCTCTCCCCTCTCTTCTTCCCTTCCTTTTTGGATTTCTATTTCTTACAGACACTGCCAAATCCTGGCTTGGAAATACACTAGGTTATGCCTTACTTCCTAAATCTCCAGAAACTTCGATGACCCAGTCAGAGTCACTCAGCATGATGAGTGGGGTCCACGAGGTAAAGTAGTCCCCACAGTGCACCTTCCAGTTGCACATTTAGATGTGTCACATCTAAATGACAGTGGGCCCCATCTGCCTACACTTGACAGTAGGCCATCTCTTTATTTTAAACGTAACTCTAATCTGCACACTGCAGCCAGAGAGATCAGCAGTGAAAAGCTGATCCCTGTTCCCTTCACCCCTCAGTGGTTCCCCATCACCCCAAGATAGTCTCCATGCACCCTATACAACCAACAAGCTCTTTTTGGTCTTGCTTCTCATGGTTGACACCTGCTAGACCACCATCCTGGAGCACAGTTACCCCTCTCGCTGCACCTCTGGGCTATATCACTAGACTAGACCATGTCTGTCCCACTGGACTGCACCTTAGCCCTGGACCATGGCATAGGCAGCCCCTCTGAAAAGGGCATTTTTTTCTTCACCTTTTGATCCTCCCTTCCTCCAACTCCACATACCAACCAGGTCAACCAGGTCACATGCATGAGGAGTTTCAATATGATTCTCTCTCTGGCCACTCTGTACTTCCTTCCTGCTCCACCTCCCTCAAAACTTCCCTGAACACACAAATCTTGTGAGATGTGTGGCCTCCTTCCTTGGGGCCCTTGAAACTTGTTCCTCCACTATAAATTATTAAGGTTACATTTTAATTGCATGTTTACTTATTCATCTTCCACACCTAAACTCTTTAAGGGGTGCACTGTGGTTGGTTCCTTGTTATATCACCAATGTCAGATCTATAGAAATGTCTCAAAAATAGTTCCATAAAGAACCTGGTATTGAGTAAGGAAAAAAATCAATGGATGTTCCAAAAATTCTATTGGCTTAATCCTGAAATGATCTATCTTCTATGGATACATTTTTCTTGGCTGAAATACAGCATGGACCTAGTGATAATTCTGCCATGTAGTGGTGGAATTTTTCTTAAGGGCCACAGGTAAGCCATGGCCCTGTCTATGTGCATGGAAACAGGGACGTGTTACTGGGCCTTTAGAGCTGGCTGGAAAATCTAGTGACTCTGAAAGCAGACACAAGAAAGCACCATCTGAGCCTTGTATACTAGTGATACCTGGTATCACTATCTGTTGTTTTGGCTGAGTGGTACCATTCATCTTCACTTCCTACCAGGGAACTCCCCTCTACTTTAAAACCACTTGCTTCACATGGAGATGATGTCAGCTGTAGCTTGATACTATAGTTAACACTGGTGTAGAATCAGGGGACAGGGAAAGATTTAGTTGTAGTGGACTTGAGCGAATAGGGCCTGACCTAAAGTTAGGCCAACCCTCAACTTTCAATATGGGGTGCATGAAAGACCCTTTTCGTTTAATCCGGTTTAAGCCACTGATAAATCTGAAAAGCATAGCCATTGTTTATATATTTTATTGGAAGATCTGATAGTCAAGGTCAAGGTCAAAACCTTTGGTTCTCTGGACGGACGTGTGCTTCTACACCAACTAAAGAGACCGACGCTGTCATACTGTCCTTGCTTCACACTGCACAGGAGGAGGAGGTCTGTAATCTGGACGAGAACCATCTGTTATCTTACAATACTCTTCGACTTCTTAAGCCTCAGTTTCTTTATATGTAGAATGAGGAGTTTCAACAAGATGATTTCTAGGACACCTTCCAGTTATAAAGATTTTCTAATTCTTATTTTGCAGCACCTGTTTGCTTAATGTAAACCCGCTGACTGATTTCAAGGGCCTTGCTGGAGCAGATCTAGATAGCACCAGAACAGGCCTTAAGCTGGTACAGACCTTCTGTATGGTGGAACTATGTCTCCTGAATCTGCAGACCAACATCCAGCACCATGGACAGTCTGGCAGCCGCATGGAAGAGTGGCCTCTGTGCTATGCAGAGTCCAGTAGTAAATCTGCCTGCATATGACTTGTGACCAAGAATTAGTCACTTTTGGGCCTCCCTTGGTGGAGCAGCAGTTGAGCGCTGGGCTGCAAAGCTGCCCACAGCCTCTGCAGCGCCGGTTTGATACCCCGCCACCCGGCAAGGGTCCCACATGTCATGCAGACCTCTCCTGCCATGCCCGCTGCTCCCCTCAGCAGTGTATTTCATCAGTCTGCCTGTCCTGTTCCCCACTCTGTCTCTGGTGAATTCTCTCATCCTCTCGCACTTCTGACTGTACCCAGTGCTTGAATGAATGAATAGATAGATAGATAGATAGATAGATAGATAGATAGATAGATAGATAGATAAAAAGAATCAGACAATTTCTAGCCCCTGATGTGAAAATACTGGACATATCTAGGCTGATGTGAATTGATATTTATGAGTAAATTTACTCATCTATTCTTGGATTTGGTCCCTGATTTTGATTCTTTTCATGGTTGGCTAGAGTTGAGTCCTAAAGTTATTCCTCTTGGGATCAAAAGACTCTTGTAATTAAATGATAAAATAGTACAGTTCTTTCATGGGTTGGTGAGACCAATCACTTTTCTCTCTTTTGTGTACTCAGACTGTGAATCTGAACTAAGCAACCATCTCACAATGGCTTGGTGCCAGGATTTCCCTGGTTGAGAAGGAAGACAGACATGCCCAAGGCTTCCATTGCTGCAAACACAACTGCTTCCTTGATAGAGTATTTATATCAGACACTATTGGGGATGGTCCAGGAAAGTTCCACATTTTCTCAGTAATGTCCTCTCCTAGGTTGTGGTTACTATTATAGCAATTGTTCTGTTTTTTTTAAATATTTGAGGTGTGATCTTTCATCAAATCATTTATGGGACCAATCACTTAACCAGGGTACACAAAGTTCAAAAAATATATTCCCCGCTGCTCTGTCTTTGTCCTTCTTGGGAAAATAGTGGAGAATCCTCTGTTTCTTGGCTTCAATGATCCTTGTCCTCAGATGGTTTTCAATCATGTCTCTAACTGGACCTCTCTGGCATTCCAGCTTAGTGAGTCTAGGGTTAGGTGGAAACAGTTCCTTAGATTTCTTACCATCATTTTAAATGCAACATGATTAATTCAATTAAATTCATTACATGGGCCATGGAGAGTGTCCCAGTGTCTTGCCATCATGTCAATGGAACCACAGTTCCTTGTCCTCTGACTTCAGCCCAAACTTGGGAGATATCCTCAGCCCTCATGTCTCTTGTCACCAACTTTGCAATGTATTATATAAAATAGCTCATTTTCTCTCTTCTTCTTAATTCTCTCCCCCACTCTGGTTTGTGCCCATCATGGTCCATGCCTGAAACCTTCCTCAGTTCCCCCAATTCTAGTCAATCTTCCTTTGAGAACAGATCAATTCTTCTAAGCCTATCTTATATCCTATTTTTCTCTGGCACTGAAAATTCAGTACCTTCCTATTGCATGACATTAAAATTCCTAAGATTCCAGGTTTCCTCATTGTCTATTTCAGCCTACCTGCTCAAATTCAACAATGTTGGCTTATACTATCCCAGGAGTTTCTACATGTATTATGTTCCTTATATTATTCACAATTATCATCTCCCAATGACTCTTTTTTCTACATTGCCTAGCTCCTAAGTGTTGATATGATGCCTCAAATTCATCCCACTCCCATGACTTTGCCCATGCTAACTCCCCATCTAGAATGTTCTGTGTATGTGTGTCCTACAACTCCTCGGGGCCCCTCTAGGAAGCCTAGCCCTTGCTCATCTCTGAATCCCTGCAACACTCATAGTCTGTACTAAATATAATCATTGAATGATCTGCTCTGTTCTGTCTCATCTGCTTATCTTTCCAGCCAAATCATTTATAAACTCCTTGATGGGAAAAATGAGGCTATATTCTCAATGTTCCATAGTGTATAGTAAAAGGCATTAGATAATATTGTTAATTCATCAAAATGATGTCTAGGGATGAGGAGAGGTAGGAGACACAGGGAAAGGAGAATGATGTAATTTTAGATCACCCAGATAATTACATGGATCTACCACTTCGGGTCCTCCCCTGCTCTCCTCCTTCAGATTACTTTACCTGCAGAACTGAACCTCCTGGTCAAACTGTGAGTTTTCGGGCTGTGTTCCCTCCTTCAGCTGGCTGACATTGAAAAAGGAGAGGGTGTGGTTGACAAAGCCGTGAAGTGTGCCATTGTTACTGTAGGAGTACTGGTATACCAGACGGGGGATGAAGTCAGAGGTGACGGCAATGACAAAAGCCTGAGGGATAAAGGCATGTGCATTAGAGGCTCCAGGTGACATGGAGTCCATTTTGCATGGAGAGATTGTCCCCCTGGGTCTCCCCAGCCAGAGCCACTGCTCTGACTGACACAGAATTCCTTCCCAAGCTCATGTAGTTCACTCACCTGTGTGTCCATCCATGACACATGTAAGCAAACCCACCATACCATGGCTGCCAGGAGAGTGAAAGACAACTGGTGGGGCAGAGGATGCTAAGCCAATGTGGGCATTTCAGATGCCACTTCTGTGGTATCTGAGTAGACATTGATATTGGCCAAGCCACAGCAGGGCATAAGATTTTTTGAGAAAATTACCAATAATGATGAGAATTCCACTTAAGAGCTGCTCCTAAGTGACACTGGGAGGCCAAAAGACCAATGATACAGGTCTCCACAGTTCTCTTAATCTGACTGTCATCTCTTGACACTTTTTAGCATATCCTATGATGGAGGCTGTTCTTTCATTCATTTTACTTTGGAAAAGTGACATCAATGGGAAGGAGCAGGTCCTGCTAGATGGAATCACTGTGCCCAGCCAGCATCTGGCCTATTTAAGCACTCTATAAATGTCCATGGAGCCGTCCAAACGACAGATGAATGATTGCATGTTTGAATGTGGAGGTACTTTCTGCAAAGAAAACCTTAAATCTTTTTGGCAGCTGTTTATACTGTATTCTGCACCCATAATTCAAGCCCTTTTTAAAAGTAAGGTTTGGGTATTGTTTTCTAAATGTATACATGAGTGTGGATGGCCATAACCATATTTGACAATGAGTAACATACTCACTATAATCAAATCTATAATTTTTCTGAGTACTAGCTACAGGTCCTTTCATCATCCCACCTAATTTCTAGGCTGATCCTGCAAGGTGAATACTGCTATTATTCTCACCCATTTTTATAGGTAAGTCTGAGAAAGCCCAGGGAAATAAAACTTCCCGTTGTATCGATGGAAAGTGCTTAGCACTCGGGCCTCTTTTCCAGTAGACACAACTCCGAAGTAGCTCCTGATCTATTTTCCAAACTGCACTCTATTTCTCAGCCTCAAGATGTGTGCCTCCTAATCAAACATGAAAAATGTAATGGGCTGATCCTCTCTGCCCCTCCTCCTACCATTGCACATGTTCTAAATAGGGAAACAAATCTCCCCAGGGAAAATGGGCTTTCTGGGTGTACCCTAATCTGGCTGGCTTTTCTGGAGATGGGGATGAGGAGGCCCTGCCTGGCCACCCTCCATACTGAACGTAGAAGCCAGAGCTGCTGTTGGCGTGGGCCCGGCAGGATTTCCTCTGAAATGTGGTCATGTCTGGCAAGGCACTTAAGGAGGTCACAGGAGGGGGGACTCCTCTACTTCCATGTCCTATCTTAACCTACACTGTGCCAGAGTCCAAGGCATAATTAAGACTTTGCATCGACAACTTGGAGGAACCATAATTAGGAATTACAGCCTGGGCAAGGCGCCAAGTATTGTTTAGCACAGGAGTCGAGAAAGCGAGGAAAGAGATGGGTAGATATGTGGAATTCTTTCCTCATGATTCTTGGCTCTGAAAAAGGATCTGATTCTGATCCTTAAGGCCCAGGTATGCATCCTGGTAGATAATTACCTTTCTTTCTCTTAGTGAAATTAGCAATAAAGAGGCCCCACTCTGGTGACAGAATGCTGAACTGGGAGGCATGTGTGTGTGATTTACCAGGGGACTGTCTCAAATAAAGACCCAGATGGAAAAGGCTGGGGGGTACAAGGGCCAGGTTCTCTCTTTGAAGGCCTCAGCAACTCTAGAGAGCCCCTCCCACAGTGCTGGGGTGTGATGAACAGAAGCACTTACGTTGATGATAACAGAGAACTTGCCAATTCCGGAGAGAATGTCAAACCAAATCCCTGTAAGACAGAAAGAGGGTTTTCCTCAAACTGCTTCTATTGAAATTAAAAAAAAAAAAAAAAAAAGACAGAAAGAGGGTATCTGACTCAGGGTGATGACTGGCAGGCAAGTTACCTAGGGGTTCCCAGGAACAGGCTTGTCTGGAAAGGCTTAGGAACCCCTCTGTCTAGAAGCCAGAGAAATAACTGGGGGTGGAAAATGGGACTCCCCAGGCCTCCCAGCCCCGGAGGAGATGCAGATGGGTGGCTCAAAGGGGTGAAGAGGCGAGATCCTGCTTCCCAGCCCTCTTACTTAACTCCTGACATCACATGAGGGTGGCAGGGACCAGGGAAGGGGGGTGCAGAGGGTGGGGCGGGACTTGGCGGGGCCATACCGATGTCTTTGGTTCTCACAGCATCCGGCCGTCTCAGCTCCGTCACAAACTTCTTTGCATCCAGCCGCACCTCGATGACATTGTTGAGCAGGGCGAACACAGGGGCCAGAGGAAAAGAGGCCACAAAGAGGGTGACAAAGCCGAACTGGATGACTAGAAGAAAGAAGAGTGACTGTGAGAGGCTCCAGCAAGGAGAGGCAGGATAACCATGCTCTCACTCCTGGTCTGGTCTTAGCGAGGTCTTTTTGACAAGGTCTCTGCACCACGGATGGGGATTTCTTTCTCCATAGTTCTGGGAAAAGCTGTGTAGCAGGCACAGGCAGATCCTATGAAGAAAGAAGCCTGTACTCTGGAGTTGCCTGAACTCTAGTTACTAAACCTGGTGTTGGACACAAAGGTGGACACACACTCTCAGTCCAGAGCCAGGAGTGGGTAGGGTTGTATGTGTGGGCCGCAGGGACTTGACGCTGTCCTGGGGAGTGAAAGCAGCTACAGCAAAGTGATGACAAGTAGGCTTGGCTGTGTTCCAATAAAACTTTATTTACAAAAGCAGTAAGAAGAGAAAATGGGATTTGGCCCATGGGGCATAGTTAGCCACCCTTGACAATGTAAAACTTAAAATATTTCCCAAGTATGGCCTCTCCTTTCCACAGCCACAGCTTACTGAGAGCTCACTAGATATGAGGCACTGTCTGGCACTGTCTCCCAGGAGCTAGTGTAGAGAGGAAGATGCACAACAAGGGTTGATGTTTATCGAAGGAAAAAGAATGTATCAGAGACTGCGGACATCCAAAGGGGAGGAGCAAAAACCTCTTTGGAGTGGGGTGTAATGAAAGTCTCCACACGGTGGGGCTTCCCTGGTGGTGTCAGGGGTTGAGCACCACGCTGTGAAGTGGCCTGCAGCCTCTGAGGCATGAGTTCGGTCCCCGGTTGGCCAGGGAGCAACCCACATGGTACAGCAGACCTCTCCTGACTTGCCCGCTGCTCCCCTCAGCAGTGTACTTTGGTCAATCTGCCTGTTCTGTTCCCCACTCCATCTCTGGTGAATCCTCTCACCCTCCCACACCTCTGGCCTGTACCCCAGCTCTTGTATGCATAAATGAATAAATCTTTAAAAAAATTTACAAAGTCTCCACACGGAACACCTACACTTGCTCCCAGGAAGACTGGACTAAAGAGAGCATTCTTTAGTAGACTAAAGACTGGACTAAAGCAGTGCGGTATGGAGGTAGCCTGTGCCCATTGAATGGCTGGAAGGAGTCCAGGCCCCCTCAACTCCGCTGGGACAGCTGCAGCCACAGTCTGACTGTGCTGGTCAACCAGAATCCCCAAGCCTCTAAAGTCTATTCATCCCAGAGCCCAGTCATCTGATCCTATAACTTACCTACCCACACAGCTTTCTGTCAGCTCCCCTCTGCTTTCTGGATATAACTCAGATTCCTCATCTCGGGAGACAGGGACTCTACACCTGCTCCTGACCTGCCTCTCTGGCTCCTCTTCCAACATCTCCCCTACGCCATCACCTTATGCCTCCAGCACCGGGAACTCCCCATCCTGCTGAGCATTCCCTGACTGCGTGAGGGCCTTCCCCATCATTTGTGCACAAGCATTCATTCTCCAGTGAGCAAACTTCACAACACCCCCAGGATGCCATCTCCTCTGGCAAGCCTCCCCCCCACCTCCTGGTTCCAGCCTCCCCCCAAATCGCTGGCCGCGCCTCTGACAGTCACCACTATGTGGCGCTGTGATTCACCTGCTCACGTGCCTTCACTGCCCACTGGGAAGGCAGGGCCCCCATTCATTCCAGAGGCTCTGGATGCACTTGTCATGCCACCCAGTCCTGGCCCCAGGGAAGTCACAGTGGAATAGGACTTCCCCACAGACTAAGGGCAAGTTATTTAACTTCTCTGTGTTTCAGTTATACCGACTGTAAATTGAGACTGATAATAATACCCACCACACACGCATCAAAGACAAATGATTGTATACATCAGTTACTTCAAACACTGTCACTCACTGGTTACTCAAAAATGTCACCCCTGAGGGCCTCCCCGGTGGCAGAGTGGGTTGAGCGCAGCGCTATGAAGCTGTCTGCAGCCTCCACAGCGCCGGTTCGATTCTCGGCCAGCCAGGGAGAATCCCACATGGTGCCACAGACCTCTCCTGTCTCGCCCACTGCTCCCCTCAGCAGTGCTTTTGGCCCGTCTGCCTGTTCTGCTCCCCGCTCTGTCTCTGGTGAATCACCCTCCCGCGACTCTGGCCTGGACCCCAGCTCTTCTATAAATTAAAAAAAATGTCACCCCTGAGGTACAATTTTACTTTTACGGGAATAAATATCGACAGTAAAGGTGACAGCAATGTGGACGGTGTTCTCCTGTGCTAAATGGACACAAATTGAAGGTGTGAGGAGTAGAAAAGAGTGGGAAGAACTGGCTCACCCTGGGCATATTTCTCACCAGCCATGTCCTTGGGCAATGCCCTTGGTTTCCATGGGCATTAGCATCCTCATCAATAAGTTGAAGAGACTGGTTTAAATTCCCTCAGGTCTTTTTTTGAGATGCTGTGGTTCTTACTTTCTTGAACAAGCTTCAAGATTCTATGATATTGAAATAAAAAATGAAAAACCAGGATCCAAATGGAAAAAATTTTTTTGAAAATTAAAAAATAATTTTTTACTGAGGATTAAGCCTAAACACATTAAAAGCCGCAAAAAAAAAGAAAGAAAAAGAAAAAGAAAAAAGAAAAGAAAAGAAAAGAAAAGAAAAGAAAAGAAAAGAAAAGAAAAGAAAAGAAAAGAAAAGAAAAGAAAAGAAAAGAAAAGAAAAGAGAACCCGGATGGCCCTTTAACTAGCACACTTTAACCACTTTTGATTTGGTGGTCAACCCAGGCCCACAGCTGGGGTTACTGCTCTTGCTGATATACCTCTGATGCCCAATGGATGCCTGGCAGGACCTCAGTGACCAGCAGGTGCCAGTAGTGGCAGGCACCACCATGTCAAGGCTAAGGCCTTGGAATGACAGTCTGGATAGCTGGCTGCCCTAAGGGGTCTGGGGTGGGGAGTAGGGAGGAGAAATCTTCTAGAACAAGCTCTGGGAGCCAGGTCAAAATGCAGGGTCTATCACATCTTTTAAATGAGGCTGCTAAAGAATTCACTTTAGAGTCATGGGTAGGGGTGAGGGCAGAGGGGTTGTCAGGGATGGAATTAACAAGGAAAGCAAAACAGATGTTAGACTGGTTTTAAAAACCTGTAAAATGCATGCCTGTATTTAAGTACCTATATAAGCATTCTTTATGCTTGGGGTGCATGGGGTCCTGAGTTGGGCTTCTTGATCCAAATGAGTTCATTTCTGCAGGCCAAATGCTCTTCTCAGAGGGACTCCCTCCCACAGAACTGTGTTAACTCTCCCAAGCCCCATGAGGGCTCAGCCAGGAGACTGGTCGGGTGGGGACGGGGCAGGTGACTTCTGAGGGACCTGGATATTAGGGTGCGCCAGCAGCACACCTCTGCAAACGGCGCTTGGTAATCCAATGTCTTTCCAGGACTAGCGGGAAACTTAACTTTGCTTTCTTTCATGTAAGCTCCAGAGACAGAGACAAACTGAGCTGGGATTGCCCTGGGCTTGTGTTTTATATTCACAGACTCTCCAATCAGGCCCTTTTTTCTCTCTCTCTTTTTTTTTTTTTGTCCATACAATTTAGCTCCCAGAGATGACTCCCTAACAGTGCCCACACATGACCCCAGGCCATAACAGTGTCTCCTCTGCTCCCTTGCCATGTAAGTCTATGTGCTCAGCCCCGGACAACCTCAAGAGTGTGAGCTCAGCCAAGGCCAGTGGTGCTGGGCTTGCAGTGACAGGATGCCTGTCCCCTCCTCTGACATTTCTGTAAAGTACCCTGGACCTGGGCCGAGACAAGCCAGTCTCCACAGACGCGCCATTACTGTGGGTGTGGACTGAGTGTCTGGCACATTTCTCGGAAACAACCCAAAGAGGCAGAAACAAATAGGAAGCTTTATTTTCTCTTGGTGGTGGTGGCGGGGGTGGGGGGGGAGCAGAGGAGTAAAACCCTAACCCTCTAGCATACAAATACCAAATCCAAGAATTGCTCCTTTTAGTCAGAGATCAAAAGGCGGTATTGGATGGGTGTCCTTCTGGGTTCACTTCATAGGACACAGTGATACTGGCCTTCACCAACACCAAGGTTGACTTCTAAAAATAGCCAGCCTCCATTAGGAGAAGAGAGAGGCCGGAAATCCTCAGCATGCTGCATAATAGAAGCCAGCTTGGCCTGACCAATAACAGATTAAACCTGGCCAAGCCAATTAGGGAGGAATCCATAAGTTGATTGTCAACCAAAGCTTTACAAAGCCTGCTGTAAAGTGTTCCAGAAAGGCCAAGCTGAAAGCACAGAGACTGGAAATGCTCCTAGACACAAATCCCATTGGTTTCTCTCCTCACTTTCCAGAAACCAGGGGCCTTTGAAAAATAACCACCAGCCGGTACTGCCTGGTACTGGAGACAATTAAAATCTTGGCCTTGATTACCTGGGCTTAGGTTAAAATAACAAGGAGGAGAGGGCTAAACTAAACAAGATGGCATCCAGCAGGGACATTCCTGGCTCAGAGAAGAAACATAGTATATTAGCAGGGACAGAATGGACTGGCCAGGATTGGTGGAAAGCTCTTGACGAAACACAACTCTGATTTCTTATTCATTTTAAAATTCTTCAGTGAAAATGTCCGCATCCCCCCCTCCACCATGTCTCTCTCTCTCTCTCTCTCTCTCTCTCTCTCTCTCTCTCTCTCTCACACACACACACACACACACACACATCCAAAACTTCAGTCTGACCCTTGGTGATCTGACCCTAATTTATTTTTGCCCACACAGCTCCTCCCATCATGCACTGTGCTTAGGGCTAATATTAAGCCAGACCATTTGGAGATCAACGCAGCTTGTTTCCCAACCATTTGTACTTCTCCAAACTCACCAAGGTTTGCACACACCACTACTGTCCCCATGCCTGCTGGGAGAATAACCACTTCTCTGGTAGGTGCCGCTCAAATCTAACCTTTTCTTAAAGACTCTCTTTGATCCCATTTATCACCCAGGAGGAATCAGGCACCACCCCTCACCCTCACTATGCTTTGCAC